TAGTTTTCTGAGTGGCCTGTCACGCTGAGGACTGCCATGCCGGTTTGTCCAACTGGTATCACGGCTGGTCCCATGTCAAGAAATCCTGGTGCTGCGTGACTCCGTCTCGCTTGAACCCAGCGGTAGTCCTGCAACACATACAGATCCATGTACGTAGATCTCACACTGGTCAGTGGCGAGGGCACACCGATGATCGAACACGACAGGACCACCATCAGCTGGGCTGCCCTGGCATGGCGCATGGCCAGTGGCACGCTCACACTGTCTGTGCCCTACACAGCATGTCTAGCGCTACCGCATGCCAAGCCTATCCTGAAGCCGCAACGAACCTTGTGTAGCGGCAACTGGCATGGGCCTTCTGCACTTCCTACCTTGGCCGCATGATGCTGTGATGGATACCGAGGTGGTGCACACCATCATGGGCCACCATGCCGGCCATGGCGGATATGACTGCGATGCAGGCTACTCCAATTGGGAGCACGGCTGGTGGCAGCCCCGACAGTTCTGCGGTGCCTACTGACTTGCTTGTCTGTTCAAGTGAGGTCGTACCACAAGAAGACGTATTGCTGCGAGCACGAGCACAAGGGCTGCCAGCCGTACCACTGCCACCACCACGAGGACCCGCTGCCTGCCTGGGCTGCTCGAGATGCTGTGGGAGATGTCTCGGCCGGTCGTCAGGAGGAGCACGACACGTGGTCCGAGGATAAGCGCTGGGAGCCCAAGATTTGTGGGGTCAGGCACGTAGAGAGAGGGCAGGGTTGCATGCTTGCTTTTTGCAGGCGACTATTGCTGCGGCCACTTCCAAATCGCCTGCGCTTCAACCACGCTGTCGCCTCTTGGGTGTGACGCCGCCTGGCCAAACTTTTTTAGTGCAAGAAGGGTGTGATACCTATACAGTATGTTGCGTTCCAGCCCACCACAAGGAGTTGTTCTTCCTCGGTGAGCCAAGGCCCCGTGCACGCTTCACGGCGACACCAGCACCTGCAAGCAGCGCATCGACTGGACGATGGAGACCTTGCGGTGCTCTTGCAGCCTTCTCCGTTTGCCGTTCTGGTTTTGAAGCTCGGGGATCTTTTCTTGCTGTGCACGTCTGCACAGGAGCACACCTTCGATGGCCAGGAGAACGCCTGCAATCTGGCCTACAGCGCCGTGCAGGTGCCTGCGGAGCAGAAACATGGTTCAGAGATGCTCAGAGGCGATCCGAGGCTCTTCCCGAAGCCATCCGATGTCCCGGCGCAGGTGGAGTGCGACGTCTGCCGCGCCTGCAGCATCCAGGAAGCGGGCTGCGGCGATCAGGGCCCGGGCTCCGATCCCTACGACTGCTCCACGGCTGCAGCTGATAGCAGTAGCAGGGCAGCGAGACATGGGAGCAGGGCGAGCTGCCGTGAGCTGATGGGAGCGGTTGGGCTTCTTGCCGAGGCAATGCCGCTCTGGGCAACTGGCCCTGGCCTCGGACCGGAGCGAGCCACCACAGAAGGGGAAAATATGTAGTCACTGTAGTCATTGTGATGTCGTGGAGGTGCCGGGCATGGTCGCCCGAGAAGAAGGTCTGGTGCTGCCAGAACGAGCAGAAGGGCTGCCAGAACCCGGACACGCCTCCGGACTGCGATGCTGGCGCCGGCATGGTCTGGAAGCATCTCGGCAGCAGGGCGAGC